TGTGTGTGTGTCTGGGAGAAATCAACACGAAGCTATACAAGTATAAGTGTATGGTAAACTTATTGTCAGTAAATCAGTTTTCATAGAGTTATGAATAAATCATATATTTTATATAATTTGCTTGTACTGGTGGCGTTTGTAATTCAAAGAAAAAAAAACAGTGGCTGGTGAAATGTTTGAGTGGTTGGTAAAAAATTTAATTTCCACCCTGGCAAGTACTAGTGGATTTCAGCTTTTCAGATAGACCACTGTATATTGCATATGATGTTGTTATTGCAATTACTGAGATTTTCTAATATCATGCAGCCCTGAAGTTACCCTTAAAAAGCAGTGCATTATTTAAATGATTTTATTAGTGATGGATTTATAATAAATTATTTTGATAAGGAAAACAGTTATATTATATTCCACCTTTAAGACGTAAAAGAAATAAAAGTTGCCATTTTGTAATGAAAACCTTTCAGTGGGACTCATATTACACAGTTAGAACATTTCCATGAAGCTCACCTCTTTGCATCTGAAGGTTGATCAATGTTAAAACTAATTACTGCATCTTTTGACTGGCTGCTCTTGAAGGACAGACAGCTTGGTCCAGGTTCTTGTTCCTGTTGTTTCCTGTGGATGAGAATGTCAGTCCAGTCAGACGCCTCTTTTATTTCCTGTCAGAAATAAACTTCTTGGATTAATAAATCTACAGTGTGAATGAAAACCATTCACCACTGTGGACATTTTAGCCTTTTATTGCTTTTATATAGTAATCTTGATCCAACAATAACAGTTTTTTTTAAATAAAAACATGACAAAAACCTCCTTAAAGCTGTAACATGTAACTTTTATAAAACATGTTTTTACATATTTGTTAAAGCTGTCACCACGTCGTGACACGATGGTATGAGAGACAATCTGTGAAAAGATCAAACTCCTCCAACTATTTTTGTGACCTAAAAAATGCAACGCTGCCAGTCAAAATCAACCAGTAAGAGCCTGGAGGAAGGTCTTAGCGCTGTCAATTAACCTTGTGTATGTGCTGCTTAATGTGCTAATGGCAGAGAAACAAATTACCAAGACAGGAAATCTGTTTATCCGCGTCATTGATGACCATGATAACTATCATCAGCAATCCTAGCAGACTCTGCCAACAGGTAGAAGCTAAAAGCTAAGAGCATTGCTACAGCTAGCTGGGGACAGGATGGATGAGCAGCACATACACAGGAATAATTGACAGCACTAAGAGCAGCTTGACTTTTTTATAGATCATTTGTCTCATACCATACGGTCACAACATAGTCAGTTTCAACAAATATTTAAAAGACTTTTTTTAATGAAAGTTACATGCTGCAGTTTTAACATCAAAGTGAAACCTGATTTCTACAAAATAAAGAAAAATAAAATGTAACTTTTTACATGCGCCTTAATTAAAAATTACATGTTTCATTCCTATGAATAATAATGGTCTTCCAATACATACCACTTCCCATAGGAGCAGAATGTGCTGACATGTGAAAGATTAATTACTTTACATTGATTCAGTTACATTTTCCATGTGATTCAGCTACAGCTAACCTCTTTGTAGCAGAAAGCTGGTTTAGGTCAGACTGGCCAGACTCCATATCAGGATCAGATTCTCTTTCAGTCTGATTTCTGCAAGTAAAGTTGCTTTAATGATGGGAGTGCTGATCCTGACAAAGTGATGCAGAGACAGACATCTCACCTCTTGTCCTCTGGTTTCTTACATAAAGTGGTTTCAGAGAGAGGAGCTTCCTCTTCCTTGTCCTCAGACGTCTCCATGTTGCCAAATTCAGATCAATACCAGCTTAGACACACAGTCCACCTTAATCTGCAGAAAGACAGACTCCACATTAAAACTAATGTGTTGGGATTTTAGCCATAGATCAACACAATGTTAATAAAATGACACACGGCTTTCAAAGGGTTCACAAACAAAACTCTGAAAATTGCAGTGAGCACAAATATTAAGCTCTATTTATCATGAAACCTCTAAATGAAATCTAGTGCCATCAGAGTTTCTTTTAGAGAACAAATCGTTTCATGAAGACCAAAGAACACAGCAGGTTTGGTTTAAAGATGTGGAAAAGTTTAAAGCAGAATTAGAAAATGAAACAATAGACCAAGAGTTGAACATTTCATGGAGCTCTGAAATAAACCAGACAGACAGGTTGGGTCTGTTTATGGAAAAACCGGTTATAGGCAGTTTAGTGGAAAGGCACTGATAGTCATGTACTCTACAAATCTACTTTTAAGATCTTTCAAAGAAAAATCTAATTAAATTATGTGGAAGTTTTGTAGGTTCAACGTAACTTTCATGATTTATAGGTGTTTAGATTTTTAGTTTTGTTGTTTCCAGTTCAGATTGTGATTTTTCTCCTTTATTTCGGTCTTTCTTTTCCTGTTCTTCATTCGGTGACGTTAACTAGCCAGAAATTTTACTCGTGTAAGAGTAGCGATACTTCTTAATGATATTACTCAAGTAAATATAAAATGTATGGTGTAGAAAAACAACTCCTAAAAGTAAATGTTTCCAAAAAGTTCCTAAAGTAAATGTCACCTCCTCTGGTATGTTCAATCCTAAAAACAAAGTGTTTAACCCTCTCAGGTCTGTAGTTAACACACCCAGCAACAGTCAAGTTAGTATTTAAAAACTTTTTGAAGGAGAAATTGATCACTTCTTTGTAAAAGTCATTATTTTTCTCAATCCACCATTTTGTTTTACCACAGGAGCAGCAGCTGTAAAGCACAGCAATTTAGTTCAAGATTTATGGAAACCTTTGCATAATTTTAAGTGTTGGACTAAGACTAATTTAGCACCGTTTATCTTTGGAGCAGTAATAAAAAATTATTTGGTTGCAATAATTTATCACCTACATCCTCCGGAGACTGTATGAGTTAAAGTTGATCTGAGGGACAAAGTTTAATATTGTGGGTGTATTTATAGTTTTCCATTCATTAAATGTCTGATGGAAACGTTGATAACGATGGAACATAAATTATTTTAATATTTTACCAACCATGAAGAACACACCTTTAATAAGGGTCACATAAATACTTATAGTGGTGGGAAGTAACAAAGTACAAGTACTTTGTTACTGTAGTAGATTTAATAATGGGTACTTTCTACTTTTACTCCACTACATTTTACAGTAAGTATCTGTACTTTCTACTTCACTACATTTCTACAAAACAGTCGCGTTACTCCTTACATCCAAGTCGCGTTGCTCTTTTTGTCCGTTAAAATGTGAAGTTCAGGGTCTTAAGGTGGCGCCGTAAAATCCAAGCAATAACTGACTTAGTGTCTGTTGTCACCCATGCCTCTACCTTTACTCGCACGCGGAGCTCCAGACATGCGCAGTGGTTTCCTCTGAGCGGGAGAAGATGTCTGTCTGATCGTCAGTTATATAATAGCTCTGCATAACTCATAGATATGGCGACATGTAAAATAAGCAGCGTTTAACTGCTTCCACTTCAAAATGTCATGCGGTGCAAATGTCTGAACTCAATTACTGTTTCAAAAATTTCTTAAAAATGACATTAAATCTGTTCAAATATATTTTCTTTCCTGTTTGGTATGATTTTCAAAGTCTTTTCTTCATCCTGTACAAATGTTCAAAGCATTTTTGGTTATAATTCTAATATAGAATTTAAATAAACTTTGTCCGAAAATGTCCATCTAACAAAATATCGTGTGGTACGACAACAAGAAATTCCCATTTTTGGACTTATATTTTTAAATCCAGTCAAAAACATGAGGTTGCATCATCCAACAGTCTGCCAAGAATCCCTGGAGACAGCAAACAGCTTTGTTAATCTTTCTCAATTTTTTTTTTTTAAAGTGTCACTTTTAGCAGTCGGTGTGTAGTTGACATATTTGGGTGTCATGTGGTATGACCTCAAAAAAAACTATTAATATTGAAATATTCCTATAATTTTCTATTTTGATTATACATTTCATATTTGCACTGTGTGGGAAGCTAGGTTGTTTTTTAAGGAGGCAAATTATTTGCCTGTTAATAATGACGGAACATGAAAGTATCATGTGGTGCGACCGTTGTTATGATACATTTAGTTTCTGTGCTTTTATTTTTGATTTCAAGACTCCAATGCAAAAGCAATACTTTCTATTATTATTTCCAGAATAGGTTTTTGTGCAGTTTTAGTATTTTCTTAACAATATCATGATAAAAATACAATAGAACATGTAACATTACGGGAATAGTTATAGCATGTATTTAGTCATTTACTGTTTTGATCTATTTTACTAGATCCCACTGTCATCAAACTATGAGCTATGATGAAGTACCATATGTGGCCCACATAATTCAGGATGTGAGAGAAGAAGTCCAGGTCAGCACCATGCAACAGTCTAATGACAATAACTTGGTCACATGCTCATCAGAACCACAACCAGCAAAACCTCATAGAGTTCCAAGTTGAACAGCCAAGACTGGGCAAAGTTCACAAAAGCCTGGTTCTAAAACCTGCTTGACAATAAGCATTTTCCTTTGTTCACTTGGACATTAAAGTGCCCAGGAACAGTGGTGTGTCAATCGAATGGCCACTGATCATAATTGACCAATTTCTGTGAAAAAGTGTATGACTTGTGACCGCCGATTACTGTCTTTTGTTGCCGATTACAAAAACCAATCACCTCATACTTTGCAGCCTGCTTTTCCTTCACACTGCGCAAGGCAGCAAATCCTAAGCAAGTGGAAATTTAACGCTCCGAGAGTGATGGGAAGTTTGCATCTTGTGATATAAAAATACTTAAGGAGTGAAGCTCGTCAAAATGCATCAACACAACAAATTTTACTGATTGCAGGTTTTTCAGTTGTCCTTTTGACTGAATACTTGCTGCATTGTGCCTGCAAGTATTGTACATGTTTTTGTCTAAATTAGGTGATTTTATGGTTCCATTTTGCCAGATCACATAGTGTCATTTATACCTAAAGCGAAAAATTAACAGTCAATCCACGTGATCAGTATTGGTGATCGGCAGTGATCGGCCCTCGTGGCACATCAGAATCGACAGGAATAAACTTAATAGGAGCGTCTCGACCCAGGAGTAACACGATGGTTTTGAAGTTCATTTAATTTTTTTCTGTTTTGAGACCATTACTTATCAGACATAGTTCTGCTTTACAGATTTACTTGTAATAAATATTTACAAGTAAGAGGAGTTAGACGACAATACCAATAATAAAAATGACTCCACATTTAAAGATTGAAAATCAACTAACCCAAAAACAGCTCTGAGATTCACTTCTGTTTCAAAACTACAAAATGGCAAAAATTAATGAGCCGATTTGACCCGTTCGCATAATTTCTTGTGACTAAACAGTTGAGTCCTGTAAGGTGAAAGTTATCATAAAGAGGAATCCTATTGATAGATTAATTATTTATATTGTTCCGTACGCAATGAAAGGATTCTCTTACCTGCCGTTAGATGTTAACAGAAAATAATAGGCACCACAGAAAAAGACGTGAAAGTAAAACTTTAGTGTCAGCATTTTTTAAAAACATTGTGTTCTCCTGGTAAGAATAGTATGGAAGGCCATTTTAGCATATATTCTGTTTCTTCTGACTAACTGTAATTACATTCTAGACATCTAAAAACAACTTAATTTTGACTAAAAATAATTTAAGATATTTTCATTAACAGTTTGACTTCTAAAAATAATAATTCAAGATATATTCAGTTACAGTTGATGTATCTAGTAGGCCAGGGCTTTCAAGAAGTCTCAAATGGCATCACCAGATTCATCATCTGAACTTGACAATTATAATTTAAGATATCTTTTTACGACTAGTAAAATAAACATTTTTAAATTTCACAATATAGAAAGAGTTCAGCAGTGTGGGCCATGTAGAAAATGCAAACATTGCTCACTTGAAGAGCGAAACATGCTCCGGTCAACTCATTCTCAAGGTGAAAGTTGTGTCTTTTCAAAATGCTTTATTCTTTTTTTTTATTTTTCAATGAAATTTCAAAATGCTATTTAAACTATATGATTTGACAGAAGAGTGCTGTCAAGTCACGGAGAAGGAACAGCAGCTTCCTGAGAAAAGAGGAAGTAAGTTTCCAGCCTGCAGAGAGTTTTAAAGGAGGAAGTCTAAATATTTTGAGTAACTGAATAAGAATCAATGCAAAATACTTGTATTAATGTTGTTTTGATGCTGAATTGGAGAAGCTAAAAAGGTCATGGATGTGATTTTGACAATGAACTTGAAATAATGTAAAATGTGTAATCTAGAAGTTTCTGTTTGAGCCTGCAGCTATGAGTGACTGATAAAAATTAACTAGAAGTTTCTGTTGGAATCCTTGTCAGCTCTCGTTTCCTGCCGTAGGATGTGGGTCTCCAACGAAAAGTCTTAAAGGAAACCACGAATAATTATAAAAATAGACCTTATTTGGGAACTATTTATTTTAGATATCTACTTCCTGGCCTTTTTATGCGAGCTAAATTTACATATGATGGAGTATACGTGCCGGGCTCTGAGTTTTTGATTTGGGCTTTAAATACAAGTAAAGTTGGATGAGAATAAAGTCGTAATTTTGTATCTTTTCACCATACTGCACTAAATTGCGGAATACTGAGGGTCTTCTAGTTGGTACTGGTTTAACAAATGAGTAAGTACTAAATGTTTTAGCACATCAGAAGCAAATTTTCAGCCCCTATGGAGTATGGAGAGCCATTTCATCCAAAATCAAATGGCTCTCCATATTACAGAGCATCGTATCTAGCAAGACTGTGACGACAGTGATGAAAAGACAGTGAAGCTCAGCAGTAGTT